GGTCTGAGGGGGCTTTGTGTGTCCAAGGCCCAGGAGACGTCTAGGGTGGTGTGACCAAATCAGCCAGTCTGATAGGTCGGCAAGTCTTGTGTCGCTGTCATGATTCAGAATTAATGACCCATGAACAACTAACGTGCCCGCAAATTAGCAGGGTCGTTATGACCGCCCTGGGCTTGGGGAAAGGTGGGTCAGAACTAATGCTCTGGTTGAGACCAGGAAACCCATGGGCATGTAGGAAACCTGGCTCCGTTGCTCTGCCTGCTCATCACTCTGTGTTGTCCCTGGGAAGCTGAACCAAGCGGTCCTTCAAATGCAGTGGCTTGTCATGCTGGGAGGATGCTTTGGCTGCACAACTCTTCTTTGTGCCTGTCTAAATGCCCTCAGGGAAATATCTGGAGCAGGTGTCAGATTTCCTTTTGTTCTGCCAGAGAAATCTGCCTTGAGGAATATGGATCTGAAAAAAAAAAAAAAGACATTATGACAGTAGGGTCTTGCTGTCTCCCTTCAGTTCATAGTTTCTGACTGGATCTAGAGTAGGACGACAAAGACCTGAGAAGGCACCTCTTCAGTGGCTGAGGCATGAAACCATTGAGATGTTTGGCTCAAGAAGGCTTTGGGGACAATTCTTATGGTATGAGAGAGACATCAATGGTCACCAGAGGCAGACCAGGAGGGGTTTCTCCAGGTCATTCAGTCTGTCACCTTGGATCGGGCACATCTAGGCTGTCTCTGGAAGATGCTGCTCCAGCCACTCCGTTGAGCATCTCAGAGCCTCTGCAATAGCCTGCTCTGGTGCTAAATCTCCTTGTAGCTGGAAAGCTTCCTGTAACATCTATCCTAAATCTTCCTGGCTGCGCCCCAAGCTGATGGCGTCTTGTTGTCCCTGCTGTGGCTGGAGATCACCCTTTCTTTTGTAGCAGCCCTGTGTGGTCTTGCCCTCCCTGTTGCACTATCTGTCTTGTATTACATGTCCTCCCTGCTGTCCAGGATGCAATTAATGTTAATTGCTGATAATTAATGGCAATTAAAGTAAACCAGGTCTTGGGCACAGCCTCAAACATTGCCCAGGGGTGTCCAGACTCTTTCGTTGTTGGCACACTCCCCAGCGTGAGTTTGGCCTGTGCCAACTTGGGCTTTGCCAGATGCCTGGGCACACTCTGGGGACAGCCTGGGCCAGGGCTGTCCCAGCAGACCAGTATGGACGTGAGCTGGGCCAGGCCACTGGCCCTAGGCCCTAGCCTGTGCTATTTACAGGTCTGGATGGAACTCCCCCAAGAAGACACTGGAGCCACTGCAGGGAAGGGCTGTTGGATCAGGAGGTATGGGGAAACCTTCCTCTCCCGTGACATCCCAGCAGAGCCCTGTGGGGTGAGCAAGGCAGAGCGACTGCTGTTCGGAGTGATCGCTCTCCACAGCTGCTCCCACCCTCCCGCCAGGCACAGGGCCTCAGGACTTGCTGTTGGGTGGCAGGGGAATTGTTTCTGTGATTTTCAGTTATTTTTTCCAGCGTATACAATACATAATAACACTCTTAAGAGTGCTTTCTGGAGGTGACCACAACAGATGAGCCCATGTCCCGTATGGCTGGGAATAGCCCATGTGCGCCCTGGTGACCCTATGGCTGCAGCCTTCTCCTAGGAGTTCCCTGGGCCCTGGGCTGCTTTGACCAGCCACACTGGGATGAAACATCCACTCTCCAATGGGCCAAGGAATTGGGTGGTGCTGGTTTTGCCCCTGTCTTGCTCCTGTGAATAAGGGGAAGGAAATCTCTCCTTTTGCAATGGGGAGCTCACCCCTTCCCACCTCTGCTCCCCACTTCCAGCTCCCGCAGTGCCAGCCTCAAGTGCAGAGCCTCTGGGTTGAACTCAAACCCAGCCCGGGCTGTATCTCTGCAGATGGCATCGGGCGGGCTGGCCCATTGTGTCCTCCTGCCCTGGATTTCGTGGAAGGAAACCTGAGGCGGTAAACAAGGTGACGGCTTCATTTGGATTTTTGGTACTGCAACCTTGAAAACGCTTTGCAGCTCAAGAGCCCTCCCTAGAAAAAGAAAAGTAAAACAACGTGACTTTTGTGAGCGTGCTATTGCTGAAGATGCAATAAATAAGGAGACTAAAAGGCACGGGAGCAATTTACTGCCACAAATGTCTTTTCACTCAGGGCAAATTGGGAAGATATCCAACATTTGACCTCTGAAAATGAAATTATTAGCCTGGCATGGGAAAAAATGATCCAGAGCCTCCAGTTCTTAAACCTCCTCCTTCCATCCATCCCCAGATTGCTTTTAACCAAACATGCATGTACTTCTTGCCAAATATGCAGCATAGTGCTGCTGAGATGCGGACAAGTGTCTGCTGCTACCCTATGCTGCCAGTCGTCTTTAATTTTACCAGAGGGCCCTTTGCAGACATGAATCAGGCTTGCTTTCGAGGGCTGGACCCAAACCAGGGTTCCACTTGTGAAAGGCAAGTGATTAAATGTTTGATCGAAGCAGCCAACTGGCATGGGAGCCAGCAAGCTGAGCAGGGCTGTGTCACATGAAGGCAACTAGATTTCTTCATCCTCAGCATAATTCACAAAGATGCTGCAAGCAGGGAAAAATAAAGTCATTTTCTCACCCTTTTTGCAAAATAATGATGAAGGTTTTTTTTTTTTTCCTTCCTGGTTTCTGCTATTTCCAGCCATGTGCTCCCTGTTCTTGCATGGCTGGTTTTACTGGAAGCTCGTGTTGTGCCTAAGCAGGGAAATGGGTTTGCTGAGCTGTCAAAGGTTGGGATGAGTTATGGGGACAGTGTAGAGAGCTGAGAGGGGAAAAGAGGGGAACTGCCCCTGCCTGCCCCCCAATGACATCCACTCCCAAATCATTGCACATCTCTACCTCTGCTCTCTGCTCTGCACTGGTGGTGGTGGAGGTTTCTGCTAGCGGTGGCAATATCTCCTGTGGGCTGGGAATGCTGAACCTGCTCCTGTTCAGCGTTTGAGGGATGCACCACGGTGCTTGCGCCAGGGAGTATGCACAACTGGTGGTGGCCTCCTCTGAAGCTACAGCCTGGAGAATCACATGCTTGAACCCAGTGCCATGAGGACCACTACCCTGGTCACGGTAGAGGATCCCTTGGGTTCATCCCAATGAGCGGGTGGTCAGGAGGACCTTGTGGCCTACACAGTGTCTGTCTGCACAACTTGCTGGAGGGGGGATAGCAGCGAGTGACGGTGGTCGTATGAGTTTTGCCTAGCCGGTGGGAGAAGTTGCATTAAGATTTGGCAAAGTGGGGCAATGCCAGCTGGGCTAGCTCAGCCACTGCCGTTCTGCGCAGACTTGCCCGGGGGACAAGTTTTAGCAGCGTTGGAGCGGTGAACTCCACCAAGGTAGTTTCGGGGACGATCTGCAATTCATGAGGGAGTCTCTGCAGCAGCGTAGCAAAGTCAGCACCCGCTTACTTAGATTTTGCGTGACGCCCTTAGGCTGCGAGTTCAGTGGCTGGGCGGCCGTGAGGCACCCTGCCCTCCCATGGCGGGTGGTGGGAGCTGGGCGCCCTGCCTTGGAAAACAACCATGTCAGGTGGCTCCCCCTCTCCTTGCAGCGCTGGCAGTCCCCAGAGCAGTGTAAGGTTTTAAAGGCCTGTAAATGCTTCAGGGAGCATAAATATCTCAGCTGCCTTCGAGCAACATAATCACCCAAACTACCTCAAATCCCCTCGATGACCTAACCTTTTAAATCACCTTCAATTTTTAGTGGGGCTGTAAGCACTTAAACCACTAATAACATACGTGGACAGGCATGTGCTTATTCACAAAAGAGCCGAAGCTGCACTGTGTCCCTCCGGCTGCCCAGGGCCTGGGGACATGACGCGAGAAAATGAGAGCAGCTGCCGGGCTGTGATGGGAGCTACAGGGTCCAGGTTCATGCAGGACTGACTGGGACTGAAGATTGTGCCTGCAGGGCTAGGTGATGCTTTTCAATGCAAACGCTAAGGATGACTGAATCAGGCATCTGGTCCGAGCCCTGGGGTTGCTGGTGGTAATTATGGCCATGGTTTGTTCCCTAAGACCTGCTGCAGGCTGGGCTTGTCCTGCCAAAGAGATGGCATGTAGCCAAGGGATCTTTGCTGGGGAATGTTCACTAGGGACCTACTAAAATCCAGGGAAAGGGGATCTCTGAAGGGGATTTCTTTCTTCCCTGGTTGTGCTGGCATCACCTCATTCCTTTCTCTAGGCCCAGGTTAAACCTATGCTAGTAGAGCCAGGGATGCCTCTTGCTCAGGAACCTGACTAGAAGCTGGTTCTTCTCATGATGATATGATTGGGAAGGAATAGAAAAACGGATGGTTTTGTGAAATTCAGGACAAAATTTTGTTTTGCAGTTTTTCAACATCCCAAGAAATATTTGCAGTAAAATTTAGGGCATTTAAAAATAACTGGTTTCTGTGCAGTGGGCTGAGCCCTTCCTTTGCCGCATAGTTGCCTTCCTGCATCTGCAGTGGGTCCTGCAGGGACCATTGGGTTTGCTGACCCTTTGGGCATAACAGTGGGTGTTTCACAGGCAGTGGCTGGCAGGGGGAAGGCTGGCAGTGGCTTTGAGACTGTCTTTCCTACCGAGAGCCACAGTTTGCTCCAAGAGAGCAGCGATGAGAAGTGATTCCCAACAGCCAGCAGTCGCTGTATGTCATTTCATGGTCTCTGTGGGCAGGGTAGACTTGCTGTCTGCATTGACAGCCCCATAAATTAGGAGTTTAACCCAGGCCGTGACAGCCTGAACAGAGGAGCTGCCATTTGGTCAGATAGGTCCCAGCCTAAAAAAAGCAAATCACAGCAAAGAAAAAAAAAAAGCTTTTGGGGACTGTCTTGAGTTGGAATTGGGTGGACAGGATGTGGCTGTCAGCTACTCATAGGTGATGGCGTGAGTGCACCGAGCCGTCCTTGCTCTGCTCATCATGGAGGGACGAGAGCTATTCCAGGGACTATCCCTATCTCTCACAAAGCTTCTCCTTGTTGACTTTCAGGGCCGGATATGTTCTGCGATTTCAATGGCAAGAAGTACAGCCCGGGAGAGAGCTGGCACCCCTACCTAGAGCCTCAGGGGCTGATGTACTGCATCCGCTGCACCTGCTCCGAGGTACGTCTCCCCACACAGCCGTGGCAGGAGGCGGTCGTGACGCCGCCGGGTTGGGATGCTGCTTCAGCAGCCTTTAGACAGCCTGGTTCTGATGTCAAAACTTTGCCAGAGAAGCCCTTTCCAGGCCCAGAGGGATGATAGGTTAATCTGGCTTCTTCTGAAAACTGCCTGCATCCCCTCCGTGGATGCTGGATTGGCCTTGGGGGGGACTTATCTCAGCGATGTGGGTGGGCTGTGGGTGGGGGTGGCTGAGGGATGCAGTGGGGCCACAGATGGACTTTGATGTTGACAAACGAGGCCGTGGCCTGTGCGAGCCAGGGATGGACTTGACCTTGGCCGAGAGAGTAAAATCAACACAACCTGTTGTGATAACAGAGCTCTCATGCAGTATTCTCCTCTGCTGGCCCTGTAGAGAAAGACCAAGAAAGGGGCAACTTTGGAAAGCTCTTTCTTCCCTCATGGGGCTGAATGTGTAGCTGAACTGAGCCATCTTTCTCTCTTTCTCTCCCCAGAATGCCAACATGAGGTGCTATCGGATCCAGTGCCCGGCTCTGCAGTGTGCTAGCCCTGTCACAGACCCCCAGCAGTGTTGCCCACGGTGTGTCGGTAGGTGGCTGTCCCATATCTCCATCAGGCCAGAGAGGGTCTAAATGGGAAGGAGGGGGCGACACAGCAGTCATGGGCCTGTTTTGGGGCAGCTGGGCAGGAGCAAAGGCGGAATTGTCTCACATGAGACAAGGAAACCCTTTATGTGGTTTGATCACCCCTGGGGCCACCACGCTAGTGCTCTGCCAGGGGCACGCAATTCTGTTGACCCTTTTTCATGCCGAAGAAGCAGGTAGACATCTTACAAGTGGGGAAACAGAGGCATGGCTTGGGGCTTGGTTGCAGTCATGCAGGGTATACTTTGGTTGCATGCACATGCTTGGGGCAGCTCAGCGGTGCTGGGTCCAGCCCTGCTGGTGGCATCACAGCAACAACAGCTTCTCAGGCTGCCAGGATTGCTCTTTCCCCCACAAAATGTCACTTTGATGGAAACGGACATTTTACCAGGCCCCTTTCCCCAACTTCTCCCTGTCCCCAGAAGGCTTTTAGGGACAAACTGTCAGTTCACATTTCAATGACAAACCAGAAGCCAGCTCTGTATTGAGATCATTTGTCAGTAAAATGTGTTAGCTGTGGGAAAAACAAATGTTTTTGGTTGCACACTGAAGATTTTCACAAAATTCTTGAATTTTTCCCTCCCCGGATGTGATCTTCAAATGACTGCCAACATCGGCCAGAGTTAGATCAAAACATTTTCTCCTCTGGGTAATTAGCTAAAATTAGCTAAAAATGAAAACCACCTTTTATCTAATTTCCCTCCAAAAATCTCCGGTGGTTTTTGACTAGCTTTGCAACCACTCTGGCACAAGCGCTTTGGAGGTCTGATTTCACCCTTGCAATGAGTTCAGAGTGGTTGTGGCAACCTCGTTCTCCAAAAGCTTCTGCGCACCTAATTCATGGCCTTGTCCCCATGGGTGCTTCAGTATGGGACGGCTTTTTTCCCAGCCTGATTTTGAGATAGGGGATAGCACTGTGTTTACAGGACTCATTCCAGGCATAGCTGTTTCAGCCTGGCCTGGATCTGGTGCTGCACAGTCTAATAAAAGTGCTCCGTGTTTATGTCTCCTTCTGAGAGATGGTCCTGGCTCCCTCTTCTTCAGGCAGGGAACCGGCTGAGCACCCGCACTGTGTTGGGGCCGAGGAGGGGATGGCTCTCAGCCCACTGCTTTCTCTTCCTCCCTTGCAGAGCCAAACTCACCTTCTGGCCTCCGGGCGTCTGTGAAGTCCTGCCAGTACAATGGGACGACGTACCAGCAAGGCGAGATGTTCACCACGAGCGAGCTCTTTCCCAGCCGCCAGCCAAACCAGTGTGTGCAGTGCAGCTGCTCCGTAAGCTACTTCTGAGCTCATGGGAGGCAGAGCACGGGGGGAGGCAGTGGGGAGGCTGGGAGGGCTTGGGGTCACCTGTACCCTGACAATATTGCACTAGATGAAAAAAAACCTCCTAGGATGGTGGAGACTGGTCTCCAGCAGCAGGGCTTGTGTCTGTGCCGCTGTGCAGGAGCAGCCTGGGGAAACCAAGCTCATCACCTGGATGCACCACTTATTTGCTGGAGATCCCAAAGGCCAGTTCTGGACTGAGCCTGCTGGGACTCCTTGGGGTGGACAGGGGGCAAAACCCTGTCCCCAGCCTTGGCTTTGAGCACACTAATGGATGTGTTTGCTTGCTGCGTGGACCAGCCTTCGTGCTCTGGGCCTGTCACTGCAACATCCAGCTATCCTGCCCCACTGAGAGATGGCCGAGAGAGGGCAGCCTGGGAGCCTTTCTACATACAATCCAGCTGCAGAGCAAATGGGATTAGTAGCCAGGGGACCTGGGGAAGATGATCCTGCCTCCAAGGAGACCTGGACACGAGTGCCAGGTCTTGAGCTTTATAAGTTCCTGGGATGCAGAGTTTGGTGTCAAGGCAGCTGGTGGGACCAAACCCACTGGCTACTCCCTGCTTTGCACGTAGCCAGGGTGCCTGGGTGTTGTTAGAGCCTCCAGAAGCAAATCTGGGACCCCTCCTGCCCAGCACAGTCTTACATGGCCAGAGCTCATCCTCGAAGCAGCTGGGAGATGACAGCAAAGATGATGGCATTTGCAGCAGAGCCTGGCAGTGCTGGAGTCAGGGATGGCAAAGGGCAGGTGCCTGGTGACCTTTGTCCCCTCTGCTTGGATTTAAGTGGAAGCTGGACCCAGCGCTGAGATGTGTTTGGGTGCCCCCGTTCTGTGGGTTTATCTGCTCTGCCCTCCCAGAAGGCTGGGAGCTACCCCGTCAATCAGATGGCAGCCAGAATGCTGTGTGGTCCATGGCGCATGTCTCCGGTGATGGATTGCCTGTCCGCCACCCGTTCGCCTGCGCCTGATAGATGTTCCTCTTCCCTGAGTGCCCAGCAAGGCCCTCCGCCAGGGCTTGGCTCTGCTCTGCCCCATCCTCTCCCACCCGCCGCCTGCCCAGGCTGGGATCCTGTGAACGCCTGTCAAAAACTGAGTCCTGACGCTTTGCTCGAGAGGCAAAAGCCAGTCTGGATGGGAAGGATGGTGAAGGTGTGAGGAGCACGGGGCTGTGTGTGCCAGGAGCTGAGTGTTGGGAGATAAATGGAGTGGCTTCTCCTCGAGAGCGAGCGAGGTAGGAGAATATAAAGGCGCGCTGTAACAACGCTGGACTTGGACAGTGCGGGGAAATGCTCACAGTAGCTACAGCCTCTCTGCCATGAAAAAGAAGAGGGCTGCACAGACATGGCTTTCACTCTCTGCGTTACAGTGAGCTGTCGGACAGGGCCAGATGGCTTGTGGGGCTGGAGCCGCTCTGCTTGCCACGGCGGCCAACGAGCCCGTGCCAAGAGGTCGTTACTGCCTGCCGGCTCTTGGATGGCCTGAGTGGAAGACATGCGGAGGCCGAGCCCAGCGCTGGGCATGCGGGCGTGGGGATCACAGTGGACACTAGCACTCTTGTCTGCAGGGCCGGGCGGGCAGCCAGCGCCGAGGGAGCCATGCGAGGTGGCTCGGGCTGTCTCAGCCTCTGGTCCCACTCGATGCAGGGAAGCCGAGGAGGAGGGAGCGCTCTTCTGTATTGGCGTTGATGCTCTTGTCCTCTTTTGCCTGGGTAGTCTCCATCTCCAGCCAGGCTACACAAACCTCTGCAGGGCCATGGTCCCCCTACCTCCCAGAGAGGCTGCTGTGCGTCAGTTGAGCAGGGGGAATACTCCAGTTGTCTATACTTTGCATGCAGCAAATGCTTTGACTAAGCTTGGTCAGAAAAGAAAGCCGAGTGAGGTAGCTCGAACCATTTTGCTCACACATGCCAAGAGCACACACACGGATGATTATCAGCACTCAGCTGGGGCATGGTGGTCAGTAAAGCCATCACACCAGTAAAGCTGGTCTGAGCCCTTTATATTTATGTAAGCCTCGGAGCTAGGTGGTTTAGAGCTGAGCAGAAAGAGGAATAGCTTAAACTTTGAAATGATGCAGCTTTGAGGCTGGCTCCTTTCATACTGACCCCAGCTGGGCCAGCCCACCCTCTCTGATGGAGAAAAACGCTGAGGATAGGAACGCTTGAACCCAACTGTGTATGTGGCCCAGCTTTCCAACCCCAGCCACCACCATGCCCTAGAGCCTGTGGACTTGTGTGTCCCTCTTGGAGGCACTGGCTCTCGCTCAGGGTCTGTTTATTCGGTGGGATAATGCCTTGGATACAAATGGGAAAATAAAAGAAAAGCAACGAAGCCTTACAGCAGTAGGCTCTCGCTGGGCTGTATCTGATGTTGTCAGCTGTTGGAACAGCTGCATGAACAGCTGTTCTAAACCTCTTTGAAAACTGCCCCAAGACCAGAGCCTCCAGCATAAATTCTGTTTTTTATGTCATTCGCTCTCTTTGCCTGAGGCAGGTCTTTGCGGTGATCTGCAAGTCAGAAAAAGAAGGAGGAAACAGCTCCTCCATAGCCAACCCCTCTCCCCGCAGGTCCAAACTCTGTGGAGGTCGCTCCCATTTCCACACCTGATCTGGAGAGAAGTGTTTGATTGTGGCAGCCTCCATCAGATCCACTTATTTACCAGATTTACTTCCTCCTCCTCACTTCTCCTGCATGGTGACTTTGCCTCTTCCAATGCAATGGTGGAAGAAGATGGTGTGAGTCCTTTTCCTCAAGACATCTTTGTTTAACCTTTTGCTTTCCCTTGACTGACAGCCTGTGGGTACCCCAGAGAAAATTGCTGCAAGGAGAAGACCTCGCTATTGAGATCTGGATGCTGTTGGGCTTCTGAACATCCTTTTCTGCTCTTCTGCAATACAGCACAAATTAAGCCCTGCAGTGAGTGGGTGCAAATCCATTTACTGAGGTGGGACTGGGTATGCTAAGGTCAAGACTGTCCTTGACCTATGGTTTTCAGCTTGAATCGCAACAGTAATGGCATTTTCCAGGTTAAAAACCAAGCCAGTGGAAGCAGGTCTACAGGCAAATGTCCATCTGCAGTTCTTGGCCCGATGTCTTTGTGTGCCTGGTTCTAATGATGTTGAACAACCCAAGAAAGAGGAAGGGCAGAGCTGTGGGTTGGACCTAGCTCTGGGTTCAGCTTCATAATTCCCCTTTCCACCTAGCTTCCCCGAGTTCCTGTCGTGGGAGAGGTTAGTGAGAAGGTTCTTGTGCTGCTCTGAAGTGATGAGTTTCATGCAGAATTTACAGATATCTAGTTGCTGTTTAAGATCTGGTAGCATTAATGATGCCTGAGAGCAAGGTACTGCCTCCCCTTTTTGGGGAAGACCATTCCACTCTATGCACATGAAAGTGAGCAGAGTACGTACTGGCAACTAGTGGACTAGCTGTGCTGGGAGAGGACAGCAGCCTTGCGAAACAAGTGCCTGGCCACAGCAGCGACCTGGATGAAATCTCCATGGAGAGCAGAAACAGCATCAAGCTAAAAGTGACTGGTGCAATTTGAGGTGGTGCCACCCCAACATAAGGGACATGTGGCCTTGCCAAGACCGTGGTAATGCTAACAATGGGTTTTTTTGCTCCTGTCTCCTAGGAAGGCCAGATTTACTGTGGCTTGGTGACCTGCCCTGAGCTGTTGTGCTCCTCTCCCCTGACCGTGCCAGATTCCTGCTGCCAGGTCTGCAAAGGTAATGAGGGGTCCAGGTGTTGCTCCTGGGTGAGGGCTGCGAGCCACAGGTTTTGCTGCTAGCTGGTATTTCAAGCCAATTAAGCAGGGTTTTGGACACCCATGCTGTAAATTAGGCCATTCGCTGCTGCTGGGTCACATCAGGAAACAAAAGACATGGGGCTCAGTTTTTTCTTGCATGCTTCCCCTCCCATATGTCCTTGTGTCCTAACTCCCTGTGGTCCATATGCTGGCGAGGGCTGAGCTCTGCTGGTGCATCATGCAAAAGATGTGACCTGTACAGAGGGGCAAGTCCTCCAGATTGCTCACCCACGAGCTTGGAAGTGGCTGCATGGACTATGTAAAGATGGCGCGCACTGCTGTTGCTCCAGGGAAGTTTCTGGGACAGTCATGCCTTGGGAAAAACCTCCCTTCCATCCCTGTACAGCATGACCTTGATTGGGTTTTACTCCCACAGTTCTTCACAGGACGAAACTCTTAACTTTGTTGCTGTTTCCCCAACTCACACCTGGGAGGATGAGCAGAGAGTCAAGCCTTGCATCTCTGGGTGAGACTCAGGTTCAAGAGCAAATGGGCAGGTTTATCCCTTGTTGCCTCATGCTCAAGTGGTGCTGGAGACAGGGCGCCATTTTTGCGCTGTCACACCAGGGCAAATTGGAGCGACATCCTGGGAGTTACTCCAGCAAATTCATTCTGATTCTGATTCGTGTCACCAGAGTTACAGAAGGCTGAAACTAGCCCCACTGCTGGTGTTTCCCTGTGCCGCCCACTGGTGGATAAAGCAACAGGACAAGGATTTCACAGTGTAAAATGACTCTTTAATAAGAGAAGTATTTATGGAGCTGGAAGGCTACAGTGGTCTCCTGGCCACAGGCACAGCATGGCCTTGGGGTGCCTCCTCCAAATTTCCCTAGTTCTATTTAGGTGTTTGGGTTGTTGGCAGCTGCGGAAAACTAAGCAGAGAGCTGGCATTGGGGATTGGCACTCCCAGCTGTGCTAGGCTGCATTTTCCTTACGTTGAAACAAAAGTCACTAGGTTTCGCAGAATCACAGACCCTCAGGAGATCACAGGGATAATATATTTAGGATTGTGCAATAATCTAATGCACAAGAGAAGCAGACATTTTAGAAGAAGTTTTGCTGGCGACTCTATGGCCCCATAGGTCTCACCAGGAGCATACCAATTGCTGTGATTGCAGGGGGGAATTTTGCTCTGATGCAGCCAGGCTTTCAGAAGAGCTCAGTTTCCATAGAAAGTCCTAGATAAGGGCCAGACAAACTAAAGGGCTTTGTGCCTGGTGAGCATATCGAGAAAGCCAGACAGCTTTGCCCAGACTGAGTTGCTTGTGGAATGCTAAGCAAGTCATGTTCATGGAGTCGTGGGCATCATCAGAGCCGTCCTTGCCCTCGAGGCGTGTGTTGTTGACTCAGTGTTTCACAAGAAATGTCTTTGGCTTTCTTTTTAGTGCTACATCTGCCCCATCACCTCATATCTCTACCTCTGGGTAGAGGTTTCATGTCAAACTTCAGAAGTCTACAAGGCAATGTCTTTCTTGGAGCTCTTATTATAATTGGTGAGGATAGAAGGGTTTTTGGGATGTGACACAGACAAGGCGTGCTCCCACTTGCTCTGGCGGGGGATGTGAATCACATATGCAAAGCACCTCCCTCTCCAGTCCTAGCAGGCGTACAAAGCACCCTGTAGACGACTACGTTTAGTCATCTGGATCCCAGAGAACAAATCCTCATCCCACTGCATTTCATAGGATAATATTTTTTCTTGCAGATGGCTCATACGAGAAGTCCACAGAAGAGGAACCCCTGCAGTTAAACAGAGGTGTTGTACGTGATGTTTGCATTTTAAATTTCAGATTACTGCTTCTAACACAGCCCCATTCAACAGCTCAGAGAAAGCCATTTGCCCTTAGGCATAATCTTCTACCAAGAAATGACCCACAGCAGCTCTACAAGGGTAGTCACTTCCTCCGGCAGCTGAAGTGCTGACACCCGTTTGTGGTTGAATTGTGTCTAGGAGTTGACTTTAACTGAGAGGTGTCAGCATGGGCTGAGGCCTTTAACAGACCTCAGAGACTCCACTAGGGAAGGACTCTTGTCCTTTTCTTTGTGGCATCTTTGACGTCTTTGGGAGAGCACAAAAGCTGTAGGAACTGGACGTCTTAGGTTTCTCTCCTCCTTGTTGGCTAACCTGGCTAAGGTTGACCGGTGGATTAAAACAACTGAGAAAAGGGGCTCCAGAGAGCAGACTTGGAGGTGACCTTAGCCTGTAGAGTCAGGTGGGCCAAGTCTCTCTCTGGGGGCTTTTGCTTCAGGTACTGGTTTCTCCTCTTCCCTTCGTGATAAAGGGTGTCCTGTCTCCCAGTCATGGCTCCCACAGAGCCAACGCTGGAGCTGGACACGAGCACACTTTCCCCAGGCTGTTTGTATCGGCAGCCCCAGCAAGGAAAAAATGACTCCCTGGCTGCAGAGGGTTGATTCATGGTGACATTTTAGAGTTGGGCGGTCCATGCCAGGTCTGTGGGATTAGCTCACTTACAGCTCCTTGCCCTTCCCTTTTCCATACTGCTGGGTGAAAAGCCAGCGTCACACCTCCACCACCTATAAAATCTCCAAAATAGACACAAGGGGACCCTTTGTGCTGTATGTCTTGTCCCAGCATTTTGCTCTTGGAAGCCCAAGACGTTCCAGGGATCTCAGGCCTGCTGGCTGGCAGCCCCGCACCAACTCTCCTAGGGACATCCAGGTGAGAAAGCAGGATACGGCCCCTCCTTGCCTCCCTACCCCTGCTTCGGCCACATGGAGGCAAGTCTTAGTTCCCAGTAGGCATTTAGAAAAGACCAGCCCATTTCCCTGCCTGTGTTAGTGATGCAGGACCCCAAATGCCTTCCTGAGGGCATTGGGTGGAGCATATTAAGAGGTGGATTCTGTTCCAGTGAGGGAGGATGACCCACATGCAGCTTAGGGAGAACAGCAGTGTGGAGCATTGACACAAATTGCTCAGCACCTCATAGGTGGTAGCAGCCACGGAGATGTCTCCTGGGTCATTTTTCATCCCTATGGTCTTTGAAGCTTCTCCTCTTGATGTAATGTGTGCAGGGCACTGCATGGCTTTTTCCAGCATGCTTTGGAGTGAGAACAACCGAATGGCCTGGGTCTGAGTCCCCATGTTGTCTCCAACTGTTCACAGAGGCACTCGCAAGACCAGTGCTCAGGAGAAGCAACGGGCAGGAAGCCACTTGGAGCCACTGCGTCCACCATTCTCAGTTCATCCCTGGAGTTCATTCCCAGGAGCTTCAAACCCAAGGGAGGAGGTGGCACCACCGTCAAGATCGTCTTGAAAGAGAAGCACAAGAAAGGTAAGAGGTGGAGGGGCTGGAGAGTCTGTATGTGGCCTAAGCTGCCTTCTCCAGGGTTTTGAGGATCACCAGGGAATCAGTTTCAGCAGCGGGTTCCCACCACCAGCTCCTACCTCCTGCTCCTTCACAGCCAACCTCACCTAGCTACCTTAACCCTGGTGGCTCAGGCCCTGGGCCCACAACCCCTTCTCTGCATGAATCTGGCACTTTCTAAGAAAGGTTGGAGGAATGCTGGTCCTTGGGCTGTTTTGGAGAGCTGGGACCTGGGAAGGGAGGTGCTCGGCTGGAACACTCCACATGGTCCTTTCAGGGCTCCCTGAGCAGCCACCACAGAGCGACCTGTGGTGGCTCCTCCTTGCACCTACCCTCCATGTGGTGGATGTGTCCTGGTGCTGTTGTCTTCCTCCTGGGGGGGAGACTAAGAAGGCAAGATGGGGAGGTAACCCCATGGAGCCAAAGGCAAAAGACAGGTCCCTTCTCCTCTTGGGGGATCTCCTGCCACTGTGTCCCTAGAAGGGCACTTCCCAGCCCTTGGAGATGGAGCCCTGGAGGAAATTTTAGGACCTCTAGAAATTTGCATGGAGAAGTCAGCAGGTGGCACTCTTCACTGTGCTTCGTGCCGCCTGGCCTCGCAGGGTCCCTGGGCTTGCAGAAGGCTGGAGGCAGGTGAGGTCCTGCCCAAACCTTCCCCTCACCCCCTCCAGAGATGTTGACCCCAGCAGCCTCCAGCTCCTGGAGCCCTGTCTGCCTGCCTCATGGCACCTCCAAGGCAAGGTGACTGCAATATCCCCATGCCCATTGCATCTGCTGCAGCCAGATATGTTTCTCCACGTGCTGCCAGAGGGCCATGTTCTTCAAGACAGCGGGGCTACCCATTAGAAAGGTGGTGAAACATGCTGAGCTCCACCAGGCCTTGTGTGTGCAAAGAGGAAGAGGATTTACTTCTACTGGCAACTCCCTTCTCCCTCTTCCAGCTTGTGTTTATAATGGGAAGACCTACTCCCATGGGGAAGTGTGGCACCCTGTGTTCCGGCTCTACGGCCTCCTGCCCTGCATCCTGTGCACTTGCAGGGATGGTGTCCAGGACTGCCAGAAGATCACGTGCCCCAAGGAGTATCCGTGTGACTATCCAGAGAAAGTAGATGGGAAATGCTGTAAAATATGTCCAGGTATGTGAGATCTTACTGGCCTGCTCTGGCTTGTCCTGCATTGTGTCAGCTGCCTTCGAATTCAGCCGAACAAGCACTGATGTAAGGGTTGGCCTGTCTTGGAGAGGAACAGGACTTATCCAAAGTGAGGAAGCTGCACTGCTCCTGAAAGGCTGCATGTGTTGGGTGGCTATAGTCTGGAGAAAGATGCCCAAGAAGGGACATGATAACAGCCTTCAGGCAAGTAGAAGGTGCCTTCTGGGGAGGGGGCACGGCCTGTTCTCGAGGGCCCAGCTGGCTGGGACAAGAGGTCACAGGGTTAAATTGTGGCAGCTGAAATGTGGGTTTGAAATTAGGAGGACACTCTCTGGATGCAGGGTAGCTCTGGTACCTGTGGTTGGGTGGTGCTGAGGTCTCCATCCCTGAGGGGCCTTATGGAAGGTTACACACACAGCTATCAGTGTAGGCCAGGTAGAGCAGGGTTGGTGCTGGGGCTGGGACACAGCAGAGAGAACATCTTTTCGGTGTCCTATGAGTTTATGGGTTTTGGGTCTCTCAGCTGGTTTCTGCTCTTTGGAAAGCTGTTTGTCTTGAACCACAGAACTGGCAAAGAGGTGGCTAGACATCAAATTGGCTCTCCTTCCTGCTGGAGGATGTTTCCTAGGTTACACCTCTGTGTATTATCATTCAGAATTAGATGTTTAGATGATGGACCACCCACTGCTTCCTTAGTGAGACTAAAGATACCTCAGGTCTCCTTGGAGCCTGACCCCAGATGTAGCAACTGCAGAGTGACCTTCTCTGATGTGTTGTCATGGCGGTGTCATGGAGGGGTCTCACCAGGGAGAACAAGCGAGGGACGATGCCACATTAAGGAATAGGGGCAAACAGGCTGCAAACTAATTTCAGCTAGGATTTTCAAGGTTTCCGACTGCTGAGCAGGGAGGTTCTGGGATGGCCTCCCCCAGGGAGTGAAGGGCAGAAACCTAGCTTGTTTTAATAAGATTTTTGATATGTTTATGAGCAGGATTTATGATGTGGTGCCTGGTGGGAATGGGATGTGATGACTGAGCAGAGCCCTTCCAGTCTTGCATTCCCATTATAGCAGGTCTTTCTGGTTTAAACTCTACAACTCTCTCTGCTGGGATCTCTTGTCTGCTGATCAGTCTTCATTTATTTCCAGTTAAACACTCTGACCTAGCCAAAATGATTTTCTTCTTGCTTTCCAATACTCATAGATAGCGATCACACGCACACACATACACACACGTCGCTCAGCCAAGTTACATGCTTGTCCTTTGCTATGTGAAGATTTAGCCTGTCTTCTTTTCCAGGCACTTTCCATCACTGTCCTCCTCTTGCTCCTTTGCACGCAGTAGCTTGGAGAGAAATGCTGACTGATTTCTGTTTGCAAAAGGGATCCTAATCACATGGAAATTGCTGTGATGGATTGGTCAGACAGAGAAACTGTCACAGCTACTTGCGGGGAAAGCCAGGATTCCTCGTTCCTTGCTCCTCTGCATACCGGGCCATTCAACGGCTTGGGTGTGAAGCTCTGAGGTTGTTAAATACCTGTTGTACCTGTGAGGGTGTTTGGCTCCTTTCCTCTTGTGAAGCTGGGGCTGCTGTGATGGATGTAGAAAGCAGCCCGTGAAATCTAATGGCCTGGGATGGAGGTTTCTCTGCACCCAGACCCCATGGGAGAGGGCTGGCAGGGGGGCTGTGGGTGTCCCTCTTTGTGTCACTCTGAGGCTGCAGAGCTGAACACTTGTTATCTTCTTGTTGAAAGAGTCTTTCTTTAAATTGGGATTTCCATCTCCTCTATGCCAGCATGCATGAAGAGTAGTTCAGGACCCCCTCCAGAAAGCAGGGGGGAGAGCAGAATCAGGCCTAAAATAACTGCCCTACTAAAATAAACCCCACGTGTCTATTTATAGCCAAACTTTCTTTCGAGTAGTGTAGCGAGCTGTAACATCCAAAATGACTGAGAGAACAAGGCTAAATTCAGCAGAGCTGAGCTCCTCTGTGTTCCAAGGACCACAACCAAAGGCAATAAATCTGCTTCCAAAACCATGGGGGATTCTTAATTACTCCAGAAACAAAAAAATTAACCGCTCTCCTTCACCAGGGATGTTAAAAGAGTCACGTAGGGTCCTGCTGGTGCCTCTGGTGTCGGTCTCCCCGCTGCCCTGCAGAGGGGCCAGGGTGAAAGTGCCTTCATGCGAGGGAGGGAGCGCAGGCAGGAAGGGGGGTCGGACTGGGTCCGAGCCCACACGCGGGGCTGAGACCGGGCGCTCTGCCCAGGCAGGCCAGCCACAGCGCTGGCTCCCGTTCCCTGGGCTCATCTCTTTGCTTAGCTGACGTTGCTCCTTCAGGATGGCAGCAGGAGTGAGACGGGAATTGGGGAATCCAGCCTAGGGTTCAGAACATGTCAGATAACGATAGTGCTGAAGGTCTCCTGCAGGGGGTATGGGGGATCTGTGTGGAAAAAATCCCCCTTCTCCATCCCCGATGTCTTAGAGGCTGCCAAAACCAAGGGGAATTGAAAGTTTGGGGGTGAGCAGGGCTACAGATACTTTATCAACATCTCCCTTCCCTTTGCTGTTGTTCCCAGATCAGGATCAGACATCTTGCCTGAAAAGGCAGGATAATAACGTTGCAATTGGTGTTTGTCTCCTAAGGATGTAGGCACTGCTTCACCCTGATCTTCCCCGCTTCCTAGCAGTGCCTCCAGGCAGCCCTCTGCCTCGCCAGCCTCCCTCTCCACTGAGGCAGGTTGGCAACGTCCCGGCTTGACGAACGGGCTTCTCTGGTGACGCGGGCTCCCCACCCTGCCACTCTGGAGCTGCCTCAAGATCCAACCCCATATCTGATCCTTCCCCCAGCTCAGGAGTGCTCAGATCCTGTGTCTTGGTCGGCAATGCGGGTGTGCAACACAGCATCAAATCCAGCGAGCTGCCTTTCCTTCGACCTGGGTGCTGAGCTGACGTCTTCCAAGCTTATTCCTCAGGGTCCTCCTGACCCTTTGCACTGCTTTTGAGGGCCCTAGTTAAGAAACTCTGTCTTTCTTTTTGCCCAGAAGCCAGAGTGAAACCCACTGATGAAATAATCACCACCCAGTGCGGCAAGAACCCCAACCGCATCCTGGTGTACATGTTCGTGCCGTCGAGCTCGGAGACCTCCAAGGAGATCCTCAGGACAATTGCAATCGAGAAGGAGCCGTCAGAAGAAGTGGAAATCTACAACTGGAAGCTGATTAAAGGTGAGTCCTCTGATGAAACCAGCCAGCAATGGAGGTGTGTGTGCACTACTGACCTCGCCTCTCACCCAGTCTGTGTGGCTGGAATGATTTATGCTCTCTTCTTCGGTACTGCTTTGGGCTTGAGCTTTGCAACACAGCTTTGTGGTGAGGTAGGACTGCTGCCCAGTGATTTCCAAGCTTTTTTTGATCTTTCAGGCTGTAGAGCTTTTCTACCAATGCTCTGGACCTTGTATAGCGAGTTGAAACCTGCTGACAGCAGGCTGGCTTTTCTAACTCCCCCTTGCGTATCTGTTCACTGTAGTTGCTGGGTCCACCAGGCATGCAGGCCAGAGCTTGGAAACCGCTTTTGTCCCCAGCATATCCAGTCAACTGCTGTAACACCATCCTGAGGCACAGTACGTGGGTAAACAAGGCAGGGGCCATGGGGCCGTCCCTCAAAAGTGGGCCATGCCCACTTTCATGCCAGATGCACATGGAAACCACCACAGTCAAAAAATGTTCTAGTCACTCCATATTTTTGCTTCTGCTCTTTCTTTTTCCTGGTCTACTGACCGCTGGGAAAAAAGCTTGCAGACCTGCCACAAAGGTGCATGCTGGGGAGATGTATTGCCCCCAGCCCACTTTTTGGCCCAGTTGATTTGAATCCTCCAGTTGGGGTTTTCCCCTAATGTCAAAGCACAGCTAATACACCCCCGTCAAATGACACTCACCTTTTGCTGTCTTGCAATGCCTTTAGCTAGCTGTGCAATGCTTTTGCAGACCAGAGAAATCTCTCTGCACTAGACATGCTTGGTCTGGTAGATATCTGAGTTTTTTTTGCTCCTGAGCTCTGGAGGGGATCGTGGTGTTAGGCTGTGCCCCATCCTGAGGTCTTCATTGGACATATTCTCGACCTTGCAAACAGTTGGGCACTTCAGGTGGGTCACAGCCTACCTGCGGTTACAGCGACCCTCAGTCCATATATGGACTGAGGATGTCCGGATGTCTTATGGACATCTATAAGCAGACGTTCTAATCTCTTGTGTCTCACCTTACTCCCTTGGAGGAGTTCTCAGCCTTCCTGGGGCTGGCTTTCCCCAGTGGCAGCAGATGAATGTGTGGGCACAGACGGATAATTACTGCTGTAGTCAGAGAAATTAACTCAAGAGACGGAGCCCTGACTGTCACCATGTCTCCATCCTCCCCCTGCGATCCTCCATCCTCCACGGTGCCCCTCTCTCCTTCCTCCCCCCACTCCAGCAAGCCTCCTTCACAATGGCACCTTGTAGCTGGAGGACAGCTCTGAGACTTCACTGTCTGGGCCCCACCGTTTCCCGTTTCTCGCTCTTTGGCAGAGGTCACTACTCAAACTGTCTTGCCACCTTCCAAGGCCAAAAGCTTAGAGACTGCACGGAGCTCCTGAGCCCTGCCAGCCAAGGACAGGGGAGGCCCTTGTCCCCGAGGCCAACACAGCTCTTTTGCTTGGCAGAGCAAAGTGTTACTATTGGGAAAGAGCATGAGCTCAGTCACATATGGATTCCACCTCTCCATGGTCCATCACTCTACCAACAGAGCAGCATGTGTGAAGAAAAGAGGCTGCAAGTCATGCTTGGAGTCCGTCCATCTGCCTTTGTATGGACTTATGATACCTACGTGGCCTCATCTATTTCTGTGTTGGGCAGCTTCCTCCATGATGCAGTAGTCAGGAGGAGAATCCAGAAGCAATATCCAGTCAAAAGCTTTACCCAGCTTGCTGATGGTGTGCAATCAACCCTCAGATGAGTTGCAGTGGAGGCTTCCCCACACATTCATGGGTCTGAATACCTCAGGAGTTTTGAAACATGACTTTCCAATGTTTTAGAGCAGGAATTATCAAGGGAAGTTAGGACAGAAAAGGAACAGGCAAGATCAGAGAGAGGGACTGGCGTGGTTCAGGGGCTCTGTCATTGACTCATGCCCCACACTCAGCCTTGCTGGCTGGGCTATATGTAGAGGCATGATTTTCCCCATGGAGCTCTTTCTCATCTTTGCCCTGCCAGACTATTGATTAGACAATGACCAACACGTTCCTTTCTATCCCCAAAATCTGCAGCTCTGGGACCTTCAGCGATCCCCACTGTTTCACCACACTGGTGTACCCTCACGCATACGTCTGGGCTGGAAGGGACCCGAAGAGGTCCAGACCAGCCGTCCCCACACTGTTCTGACATATACTTGAAGATCTGCTTCCATGAAGACACTACTGCCTATGTAATCTTCCAGAGCCACAAAGCCCTTCCTTGGAGAAAACTTTTCTTGATGCCTAACCTCCCTGCAGCTCAAGCTCATGCCTTCTTACCCTATCCACCACAGGTGTGGAAAACAGGAGACTTCTTTCCCTTGTTGCATTTGAAGGTGTCCTCAGCTCCTGTTGTCCTCTCTTACATAGTTTAAGCAGTTCCGGTTTGTTCAGTCTCTCCCTGAAGTTGGTTATTTCTACTTCTTTGGTCATTCCCACAACTCTACTCGGGACTCTCTCCACGTCTTTCTTGAAGTCCAGAGCCCCACACTAGATGAGGTGCCCTGGTCAAAGGTCTTCCCATTGTGCCTGGCTGAGATAGGTCTCATGCACACGTGTGCAGCCATGTTCCCTCTCACACATGTGTGCAGGCTGCCTGGCTGGGCATCTCCATCCAGCCACTGTCTTGGATTCATGTGCTCCTTGGTATATGGTCTTGGAGGTTTATAATAGGCAGGTATGTCTCATACTGTCAGCTTCTGGGAGAGAAGCTTTGCACTTGGCTGTAGCAAGACATTTGCCTACCAAGCCCAACAGGTCTCTCATTCAGATATTATTTACCAGCCCATGCTCTTTTCTGGGACAGCTACAAGTTTTTTCAGTAGTGATTTCATGGCTGCTTCCAGCGCATCTGTGAGGACATTGTCTCTCACACTGGTCTAAGATTCATCCTGTGAGAGCTGCTGTAGAAATACCTGTTTTGCTGATACTCAGTAACTACTGGCACCAGTTTCTTGAATGAGACTCATTTCACTCCCTAGGCCAGCATTAAGTGTCACATCTAAACAGTCATTTTGGTTCCCATCATAGTAGGGAGAAACATTTACCATTTATCCCATCCACTTATTTTAGGGCGGGCAGAATAGCTCTCCAGAAGAGCTGATCCTTAATTCATTTCTCTTTGCTCTGTGGTACCGGCCCATGTCCATTTTTTTGGTCCTGAGATGGTGCATAAAGCACCAAGGTGGTAAGTGCATGGCAGCCCCACCGCTTCCCTCCATCTCTCATCCTCATAAGCCTTGAGAAGAGTGAACCAAGGTGTGTTGAACAGGATCTGCCCACTGTGGAATGACATTGTCCGGCCTTAGCTATCCCAAATGCTCTAATTCTTTATCAGCTTAATCCTATATTGGCTTTTCCAAGGATGGCAAGCTGAGTGGGTTACTCTTATCTGCACCACTTCGCTTTCTCATTGTGCATACTGGCACAACATCTACATTCTTCCACTGCTTTGCAACTCCTGGCATTTGTCAAAAATGACCATCCAGGGGCCAAAGGTCTCAGCCAGTGCTCCATGGGCTCTTGGGTGAAAATTATCTAGATCGGTTGATTAAAAGATGTTTATCTCTTGTAGTTCTTGTTTAAACTATCCTCTTGGTTACTAATGTACTGGAAAGTGCTTCATGAGCCACAGGGACTATAAGCACACCCTCCTGCTCCTTTCTAAGTATAGACCAGAAGGATTTATTGAAGACTTTTGACTTTCTTGCGTCATTAACAGTTTTATTATCTCCATCCAGTATCTTCTTTTGTTACTGGTAGGCCTTCTTTTCCTGAGCCACTGAAATGACTTATATTGATAGTCCAAGTAGGCACATATTTTTCTTGATGTCTTTGACTTCCCATATTAATTTTCCACACTCCAAAACATGTCGTTTATATGGATCGCTAGTCAGTTCCCATTTGTTACATATTCTTTTTATGTGTAATTGCTGCTGGGAATCAGGAAAGTCTCTTAACCGAATATGGGGGACCATGTCGCCTCTGACATCTGTAGACGGTAAGGTGCTGGGTGCAAAGGGTGCCTGCAGCAGGCAGGAGGTCAAGTGAGACATGGGAAGGATATGTCAGGCATACCTGCTCTCTTTGTCACACTTTGCAGACGAATATGAATATTATAAACCCTAATCCTGCAGAAAGGTCACTTCTGTTGCTAAATTCAAGTTCTGGTTTTCTTGTGTCAAACTTCTGACTCAGGCACCTCCACTGACAGGATGATGCTGGCACAAAAAGAAGCATCAATCTGTGCTGAAGTAATTCTGGTGTTTCCTGTCCTGGTGAAGTTACAGAGCTGGGGGCAGGAGAGTGGAAAAGTTTGATCTTGGCTGCTTTGAGGAAAGCAGAGTCTGAGAACGGAGGGGTCGCTGTGACCAGGGAAAATGGATAGAGAGGTGGTCAGCCCAGGGAGAGCAAAGCAGGGCATCCTGGGATGCCCTTCCTCTCACCTTTATTTCCCTTATGGTTTCAGGGGAGATCAGACCTCCTCTGGTGCTGTTCTCAGAGCAACAAAGTCTTACTACTTTCACCTGCTTCATGTTGTTGTTACTCGTGTGTTCTGATTTAATGAGCAGTTATCATTTTCAAATATGATTAGCTTCTGTTACGATGAAGGTTGGCATCAGTACGATGTGATGAGTATTCCAGGGGCCACAGCGGTGTAGCTTGGCGTAGGGATTTTCACCTTCTCCAGGAGTGTGGGGCCCAGACCATGCTCGGAGCACAGGCACAGCCCTGGTTTCACTCCCAAAGTGCCACCAGGCATTGGTTGCTGGTCCCGGACCAAGCCAGGATCATGGGCACGTCCAGTACAACCTTTCCTGTGCTACGTCCCGTGGACAGAGAGGGATACTTTAAAACCAGGCTTACCTTTAAAATGAGTGCAGCATAGACTGATGCCCCCGTGTTTCTTTCTGCAGGGATATTTCATTTGATACAGACCAAGAAGATCAGCAAACAGGAATTCAAGCAAGAAGCACAGAACTTCAGGCTGATCACCAGGACAAACGAAGGTAGAGAAAAATAACCCCATTTCCCCAGTCCTCCAGCAGGCCCTGCCTGCCACAGTGTCCTGGCCCGAATGCCTTGTATTTGGCTGAAGTGCCCTAGCCACTCAGTAAAGGGCACGTAAATCACCGCACAGTGTGTGTAGTGAACTGTAGGGAGAAGACTTGTGCTAATGTAACCGGTCAGGGCTGACCTGTCTTTACAGTCATGTGCAATACTCCTGGTTAGCAGTCACATTTTCACTTTATGATATCGGAAAGGGCAGCCAACTTTCTAAAAGTGGACGCACACTTGTGAAATCCAAAGGTTACATTTCTCCAAAGCCCATAAAACTGTTTGATTTTTATATCTAATCCATTTGGCATTATGGGGGAAAAAAATTGTGCAAGGGATTTGAAAAAAATAAACTCTGAAATATTAAAAAAAATCTTTCTTAATGTTCTTGGATGTGCGTAAATGTTACAAAAAGCAGGAATTCCAATGCACATGCCGAGAGTGCCTGTGCAGAGTGAAACTGCATTGCTATTTCCCGCTGGCTGCCTCTTCACTTCGGCTGGATTAGAGTCTAATGGATTAGGTTTGAATCAAATCCGTTCCCGTATTACTCGTTTGATAGCGCTCCAGCACCTACGGGCCAGGGTCTCGGTTCAGTAGGCAGAAGGCCCTGCTGCCCGGTGTGTACCAGCACAGCCAGTGCCAGCTGAGCTCTTGCTGGGAGGGTGGCCGGGATGGATGGAAATTTGTTTTCACCTCCAGTTCACACGAGACAGCACCTCTGGGCCAAACCCTGGGGGAGTTGAACTGCCTTCAGAAAAGTGGACACTTCTCAGCATCCTCCTCCCTGGCTGTTTCACTCCCAAAGGCAGCAGGGGCTGCTTTCTTACCCTCTTTACAAGGTGCTCTCAAAATCTCCAGCCCATGCTCCCTTCTTCTTGCCTTGGTTTCCCCTTAGCCCAGTTCAGCTCTGTGGCTGTGTTCTTCCCCCAGGCAGTTTTGGGGCAATGGGGACGCTCTTCCCAGCCCCGAGTGGCCCCTCTTTGAAGAGCGATGCTTGGCTTCAGTCATGCGCAGCAGAGATTTTTATGAGCAAAACTAAATTGGGCTCCAAATGTCAGAGGCAACAATGCCTAAAATAACTGTTTAAAATTCCCTTCACTCATCCTCCTTTCACATGCAATGGGATTAACACCGTGACACAGTGAGCCTGTTTTTCCGGCAGAAGCTGCTGATGACCTAAGCACCGCGCTCTGCGTGACTTCACGGGGGCACCATTTTGAGAGGGACTGTCATGTGAAAAAAAAAAAGAAAAGAAAAGAAAAATAACCTTGTTGTGAAATCATCTCTCTGCTGTTACCGCAAGTTCTAGGAAAGCATTGGCCGGTAATTTCTCCACAACAGGAGATTAATTCAGCTAGAAAATATGCCTCCCAGCGTGACGATGTTAGGGCTGCATAATCCTCCCTGGGATCACAAGGGCTGTGACCACCTAGGGGGAAAACAAGGAAGGTTTCAAGCCACCTTCTGAGATCTGGAGTTGGAGCTCAGCAGCATCGCCGGGGGATTGAGGTGGAGGGCCCAGGGATGCTGCTGTTTTGGGGGAGTGGGGGAAGGCTTGGCGAGTTTTACACCCGTTGTTGTGGCATTGCCCAGCCTCCTTTGCTGTGTTTGCTTTGCAGGGAGTTTGCAGCTCACTGATGAGGCTGAGGGCTGTTGCGTAGAGGGTTTATTTTGAAGCAGAATCTTCTCCTACCTTAGGCTGTTGCAAAGCCCTGCACAAAATGCTGAGGCCGGGGTGACAGCTGGAGAAGCCAGCAGAAAAGCAATTGTAAACACGGGAGTGCAGTGCCCAACCCGAGAAGTGGGGCTGATATATAGCCACACGGCCCACAAAATGTGAATTTTGGCTTTCTGATGATGAACCAGAGGACAAACAAAACGCTTCTGCACCAAAAGGCACAGAGCCAGCTCTAATCACAGATACCTCTGGGGAGGTGCTGGGGGCCACACGAGAGGCAGCTCGTTTGCTGCATTAAGTGGCCGTGCTGGTGGGGGATGTGTCCCTAACCACTCGAGTTAAAACATACTTTTATGAGACAAAGATGCGAGACTGATCCCCATTTCAGAATGAGCAGCTTGGATTTTGAGAGCACATGAGTGGTTTACCAGCGAAAGCGTAGGCAATACCATTGATTGCTTCACCCAAGTGTTAATTGTATTGCAGAAGGTCTATTGGGGCCCTGTTTGAGAGCAAGGTTTATAACTGGAGCAGGATGGAGAGGATAGAGAAGAGGAACTTCCCTGGCCGCAGGAGGAGCCGGTGACGGTGCTCCTGGGGAGGAGATGCCTGAGCCCTTTGGCATCTCTTTACCTTAGACACCTTTTTAATCGCAAGATCAGCGTACGGGCATGTGGCCCTTGGGCAGTGTTCCTGATTTCTTCTGCTGCTTGACTGAGGAGAGAAGGTCAAGCAATGGCAGGATGGCAAAATCTATGATTTCAGATTATGGGACCACTAATGAGCCAGTCTGACAGCGGCCCACATTGCAGGCAGACCTCTCTTTCCACCTTTTTCCCAGCACAGTTCCTGGGCGCCTTCCAGTGCAGAGATGTTATGCATGGGTAAAAATGTGTTGTCTTCCTGCAATGGCAAGTTTCTGTGAGTCACTGCTGATCAAAGTCCATTTCTCTTCATCCAGGTCATTGGAACATCTTCCGAGCCCAAACGTCAGACGTGAAGATGACAGAGAGTCCAGAGAAGGAAACAAAGAACTTATAAAGAAAAAAACTTTCATCTAGCTTTTGATTTATCTATACATACACACACACACACACACACACGCATATATATGAAAAAATTGCATTATTAAATAGACTGGCACAGCTATAAAAGGAAAAATACACTAATGTAAATTACAGAAACTCAAGCAAACAAACCAAATTGGAACACCACCACCACCACATCCAGGTCTAGATATGGCCACAGTCACGGATGCGACACCCTTTGGAGCACTCCAACAGATCAGTGGAAGAGGCTGCTTGTTGTCCTCTGCTATCAAAGAGTTCAGGTGTGCAAGGAAAGGAAGAGGAGACATGAGAGAGATGTGAGGCCTGCTGCAAA